AACCGGAGCCGCTTCTGGAACCTTCACGGGCCGCCACAGCCGGGACCGGTGAGAGAGCGACCAATCAGAGCTTGCGGATAAGGTCACGTGACGCAATCAGACCAGTAGCGATCGAGAAAAGGCGGGACTAATAGAAAATTACCCAATATACGCAAAAAGGGCGGGATAAATGAGGACTGACCAATAGGAAGAGAGAAAGGGTGGGGAAAATAGAAGCTTAGCCAATAAGAAGGCGAGTAGGGCGTGTCTAAGAGTGAATGGACCAATAAAATAAATAATGGGAGGAGTTAACAGGATCGGCCAATAGAAATAGGGAATATGTGGGTCTAAGGGAAGGTTGGCGAATGAGAAGCTGGGAAGTGAATGATTGATGGGTTCTTTGACCAATGAGAAGAGGGAGGAAGTGGAAAGGGGCGTGTCCGCGCAGCCATGGACGGGGACGGCGCGTACGAGCCGGGCTTCGTGGGGATCCGCTTCTGCCAGGAATGGTGAGGGAGAACAGCGGGAGAACAGCGGGCAAACAGCGGGAATGGGGGAGGGAAAACAACGGGAATGGGGCGGAAAAACAGCGGGAATGGGGGAGGGAAAACACCGGGAATGCGCCGGGGATGCGCCGGGAGAGGCGAGGGGGACAAGCGGGGAATGGCGGGAATCGTGAGGGGAGCACCGGGAGTCCTGAGGGGAAAACGGAGATTGTGAGGGGGAAACGGAGAGTTGTGAGGGGGAATATTGGGAATTTTGAGGGGAAACATCGGGAATTGTGAGGGAGAAAATTTTGGAATTTTGTGGGAAAAATATCGGGAGTTGTGAGGGGGAAAATTGGGAATTGAGAGGGGAAACATGTCGGGAATTGTGAGGGAAAATTTAGGAATTTTGAGAGGAAAAATACAGGGAATTGTGAAGGGAAAGTTAGAAAAAGTATCAGGATTTTGAGGAGAAAAAATGGGAATTGTGAGGGGAAGATATTGGGAATTGTGAGGGAAAAATATCGGGAGTTGTGAGGGGGAAAATTAGGAATTTTGAGAGGGAAAATTGGGAATTTTGAGAGGGAAAATTGGGAATTGAGAGGGGAAAACATCTGGAGTTGTGAAGGAAAATTTGGGAATTTTGAGGGGAAACATCGGGAATTGTGAGGGGGAAATATCGGAAATTGTGAGGAGAAAATTGGGAATTGTGAGGGGAAAAATATCGGGAGTTGTGAAGGGGAAAATACAGGGAATTGTGAGGCGGAAAATTGGGAATTGTGAGAGGGAAAATTGGGAATTGAGAGGGGAAACATGTCGGGAATTGTGAGGGAAAATTTGGGAATTTTGTGGGAAAAATATCGGGAGTTGTGAGGGGGAAAATTGAGAATTTTGAGAGGGGAAATTGGGAATTG